TTCTGATCTAACGCAATATTTCAATTATAGAGTTGACATTATTGAAAGACGCAGTAATAAAGGTAATTGAATCAAATGACAGGCACAACGCGGTCACGATCGGTCAATTGACTTGATGCTATCAGAACAATTAGACTGGACCTATTAGTCTTTTCAAAAGATTCAAAGCAAACTTATAGAATTTTACACATTATACTAAGCGGATATTTACTATATGAATGTCATTCAAAAGTGCTTCAATGTAAGTTTATTTGAATAAATGATTTTCTATTTTATTTTATTCTGTTCTATTCATTAAAGAACTCCCGATATTTACCGAAAATGTTACCAGATTTCAGTACTCCTATCGAGTAATTAGTGCTAATCTCTCGCTCCATTTCGACACTTAACAAGAACTTATGTCTGACTATTGTTCACTTGAACTTTGAGTTTGACATTTATTGAACTGTTGCCAATTGATATTGGTATACGATATACCAAATTTCTGATACTTTCAATATAAACAATATTGTGATGAAAGCAATTTAATTTCAATTTAATATAGATATATTTTGTGCTTTTAAATATTACATTTCATTTTTGAGCTAACTCATAGTTATAAAGCTGTCTAAAAACCCTTAAGGTAATTGCATATTGACATAATATAAATTAATTCCATTCTTCTGCTTATGTTTAAACCTCCGTTTCGTTATATATTTGCTGATAAGAAAGATCAGATATAACATAATAGCGATATGTCAATAAGTTCCTATAGTCTGTTTTTTTCATTAATATTTTCATATTCTATAGATATACATACACATATATATAAATAATGTTTTATTAACAAGGCTCGTTTACATCGCTAGAAGACATATTACCTACAATTAACTAATATAAATTTGCTTTTGTCGAAAATCCAATATCATAATTATATTCGTCGTAAATAAAGAAAACGTGATTTGTTTACAAAATAATCTTTAATGCAATTAAATTTTATTATATGCGTGCCACAAACCATATCACACCTTAAAATAATCATATTTTAAACTAAACAATAGACTGAAAGCAAAACAAAAGTGTAACGAATCCAACAATAGCGGCAAAGTCGAGCATGAAGACTCGTGTGACCGTGAACGAACATGGCAGTGGGCCACTATGCCGTCATCATCATGAGCCTCACGTAGTATTGGTGATGAGACTAGGATGTACGAGTGAAAGTGAACTCACTTAATGTGGAGTGAAGTATTTCAAACAGATGCCATTTACATATCTTGACTAGCTTTGAAATATATCTACATGATTATTACCCTGTCAACAATAAAAGAAAAATATTTAAAATAAAAAAATATATAATTGAGAAACAACATGCTGTGGTATTTAATTTTAATATTAATATAAGCGAAATAATTGTTTCTGATATAAAAAAAACTTAGCTCTATAAATAATGTGGAAATGAAATTATAGCAACTGATGATGGCATATCATACTGATCTACACTTTCCATATTCACTATGAAAGATTTTTAGAAATACCCATGAAAATATCGAATATTTCACAATGAAGACAAGTAATTTTGTTTTCATCTATAACAATATTCCTTACGTAAAGGAATACATACAGCTGCAATAAATATTTTAGTATATTGGTGCTAGTATAACAGTGAAATGTCAAAAGTAAACGAGATTTTGGAATTTCGGTCCGATCCGTTAATCATAACTGTTTTGATCAAGGTATTAAAACAATCGAACAAAATAGCTGCTTTTAGATTTAAATTTATTGTTGGCTCTTCGTCAATTTATTGACCAGAAAATATGTTTAATGAGTATTCGTAAATATTTTCTCCAATAAACTGTTTACGTATCTTAATGATATTTGTTTAAAATGGCTATTTTTCATAATTAGAAGTATCCTCTCTATATGTTCAGTACATGAAAAAAAGGTTTAACGAAAATTTGATATTACAGATATTTTTCGCAAGTAGACAATAAAAATTTGTTTGTCTGGGTCTTTATTATATTTCTGTCTTATTTACTTTGTCCGCCAAGTACTTTCTTTGTAAGATATTTTCGGTTTAAGGATGGCATACGGCAGTAAAAATAATGATAAAAAAGGCCAGAAAAGCAGCAAATCTTAGTTATTTTTAGAACGGCAACGCATGAGTACTTCAGGCCAGTATTATGATAACACGATGCCCGTAATGATATTCATGTATATAGGGGTCCACAGCTGATAAGTATTTTCAATTACATACAAAAAATACAGTGAGAAAATAGAAAAATATCGTTACCGAAACTAACTATGAACTGAGAGATCAAAAGTCTTTGAAACTAATATTTAAGATGAGAAGACACTTCTTACTTTATCTTACACAACTCATAGATGGCTATGACACTAGACTCCTTCTGTCTAACTGGCTTGAAGACCGACAGTTGTAAAGACAATAAGCCAGTATGATACTTTATACATAATTGTCATAATCACATATTATTTTTTTGCTTTTAAATATTTCATAAAACACCTGACCGCCACAAACGAGTACGTAATATACGACGCCCTCGGTGGACCCCTCCGATCGATCCCCCGTCCAATTCAAACGGGGATCGAAATTACGACGGCCTGAGCCGAGGTTCGAACCCCTAGTGGTGCCCTCAGACTAAAGTCGTATCCGTCAGGCAGGAGTTGGCCTTCATCCGCTCCACCGCGGGTTTGGAGTGCCAGCTGCGGCCAACAATATTAGTGTAGTCCGAAAAAAAAGCCCTCGGTGGTCTAGCGGTTTAGCACACTGCCTTACTTCCGACAGTCGCGGATTTAATTTCTCGCACAGTGCAAACACTTTATTCATGAGTATGACTGTTCGGTTTGGTCTGGGTGTTTGTTAAGTATATTATGTATATAATAATAAAAAATATATTGAAGTATTGTCAGTTGCCTAGTAGCCATAAAACAAGCCCTGCTTAGCTTGAGACTATATGCCTTTGTGTAAATTGTCATGGATTATTATTATTATATAAGTACGTATATTCTATTGTATACCACGGCTGTATACAGAAGTCTTGGAGAGGAAACTGCTGAGCCGATCTTAATTCGTTAATAGGATAGTGTAGTACAACATCCAAGACGCGACATTGTAAATATTACTAATTAATAGTAATTAATATTGGATGATATAAATTAAATCAAGACTAAAATGTATAAAATATATATTTACATAGTATAAAACAAAAGCGCCGCCGCTGTCTTATATCTTTTAAATTACGCAACGGACTAATAAGCTAAGAAATTCAAAGATTTGAAATGCATCCGTGGGTACCGGGGACCGATTGCTAGTATATAATATACAAATATAATGAACAAAAAACATATTATCGTAAGCGACATCATTTATTCGTGATTATACTTATGTTATGTAACAATAAATTTTGATAAGCCTAAATTTCTTACCTTAATTACAACTAATTAACCATAGACATCTTGGCAAATAAATCTAAGATTGGAAAACAATTTTATATCTCTAATGATTAATTAGATATGACATCCTTTTATTAGATAGATAGCTATACCATTATATCATTGTGTCAGTTTGTGTACTATTTATATTACGCAAATTTTTATTGTCTCCACCGTAGACCGGAACTAGATCACAATAAATTAATTTCTAAGAAAATAAATTACAAAAAGCCTCAAGATCCGTGACACAAATAGTGCAGTAGAGCAAAAGAAACCAAGTGATAAATTGAAACTGCCAGTCAGAATGAAAACTCCCACTGGATACGAAATGATGCCACTTTATAAATTATTCATGCTAGCAATGCGACAAACATACTCCCAGTAGTAGAAAAGTTACAATCCAATAAAAGTGCACTGTGCACTATAAATACAATAGAAACTCGCAAATGTTTAGCGTATATGTGAATTATAAAGCATTTTAACAAACCGTAACAAGTTGGTATTTAAATGTAAGAAACAGTTTACTAAATTAGATAAATTAATAATAAATTTACTGACCCTGGACAACTCACACAACGTACTTTAATTGCAAATAAATCAGAACTTGTATCAGGAATACTTGACAACTAATAAATCTAATACTTATTTGTAAATATATAAAGAACACCTAGTTTGTACAGTCCGGAGATAGAAATCCATCAGAAGATAGCAGTGTATTCAAGCGCGAGACCATCAAGGCAGTTGATATATGTACTTAATCGTTTTAAAAAAAACAACAACAAATAATATTAAGTAACACATACAACCAACCCATGATTCATTAAAAATTATCGAGACAATTTATCAAAACATAAAATGAATTCGAGTTCTGAACAGATCGGAAACTGGTGCCGGATCTAAGGCGATACGTTACATCACCACACTTACCCTGACCTCTTATTATGTAATTAAAACAGCAGCGGTTATAATGCACCTCCTCATCTACTAAGCAGATAGGCTGTATAGTGGAAATGTTGCAGAAACAATTACGTAATAATTACTACCTACTACCTACCCTACACCACAATACATATACAGTAATCAAAATAACACATAGTTTACGGGTTACCCTGCTTTTTTGTTGAACCCATGAAGTTTCATTACCGGTTTATAAACCGAACCCCATAAGTACGGTTACGGAAAATTCTAATCACTAAAAACTATATTTTTTATTAATAAATATGGGTTTTGAAATATAAAATGGAATAGTGCCAAATGACAGTTCTAATGGTTACTTTATACTACTTCTCAGTCATGCAATCTCGTATCACATACGTTATGAATAATAATCTAATTTGTTCAGGAAATTCAATCAAGTCTACAGTAAAATTTTATCAAGTGACGACAAAGATAAAATTAAAGGATACTTAAAGGCAGGGTCATTACACTACGACATTTTGACTTCTGGGACGATTATCGATATTTTTTCAGATAATACTTTTCTGATTTAGTATAAATATGAATTATTTTCAATTAAATATTAGTCAATATTCTGATTTCTTATTAAATAGTCAAATATTAAAACCAGCATAATGAAATCCATAATTTTCGCCCTTTTTATTGGAATATTTGCACATGATCGTACAACAGGTAAATTATAATTTCATTTAGTTGTATTATTATTTTAAAGTTCTTTTAACTTATTATAGAGTTAAATTGAGTACTACAAGTGATTTAATGAAGAGTATCTTATTTATATTATTTACGTATATATTACGCGATCTAAAACCAATGTGAGCCAATTTTAGTGACTACCGTATATACTCGTAAAATATTTCCCATTTTGCAATTTAGTTCAATTTAAAGTCTATGTTTTTTTTAAACAAAAATTTGAAGCATATAAACTTAACATTACAAAAATTTCAGCTACACCTGTTCAAGCTCCCGAAACAAGTGCCTTATCAGGCCGTATTGTTGGGGTGAAGATGCACCTAAAAACTACGCCCTCATATGGCAGCTTTAGTGGTTGGCGAAGTTGTAACTCACCTCGTATGTGGAGGATCCATTGTGAGCTTAAGACACATCCTTACTGCCGCCCATTGTATCGATCCTTTTGTGTCTTGGCAAGGAGAATTGTCAGAGTAAGTAATTTTGTATAATATTCGAACCTTATTTAAATTTGTTAAAAAGTGAAGCGATCTCTCCAAATTTAGACAAGATTGTCTACAATGATTATGTTGTGCCTGTAGCAATTATGCTATTGATCTAGTACTTGAAGCATACTTCATACCAATAACTCTTTCTTAACCTAATAATGTATTTTATAATAGTAAGAAAAATATCGCAGTAACATGGAATTTACAATATTCTACTTATTCCATATTTTTAACAAAATAATTTAGAACGTTAAAATCAAATTATAGAAATGAAATAAAAAGTTTTAATGAAACCTATTTCACTGCTCAAACATTTCTAAACCTCTTAGATAACCATTCATTTGTCTACAATCGAAGCCCCTTGTTAATTGCATTAAAATTAAAATTATATATTACGTATACGTTAAAAAATTATATTAGTTGTGTTAATGTTAAAGTAATGTTGATTAACACAATGTTTTTTTTTATTTGATAGCACTTTTCGCGGAGCTGTTGGCACAAACCAATGGGAAACACCGAGATACTATCTAGACTTTTCGCACTTCATCAATCATCCTCAATGGGACTCAAGATTAATTAAAAATGACGTAGGAGTACTATTTCTTGTTGAAGAGTTAAAGCTCAGTGACAACGTTGCAGTGATATCTCTTAACTTCGATTGGGTGGATGGAAAAGAAAACAGTTATGTCACGGGCTGGGGAAGAATTTGGGTAAGATTCGAAATAAATAACATACCTTCACGGCTGATATCAGTACTATCGATAGCATAGTTGTCGTAACATTTCCCTAAACATATTTAAATTGAACGCGTCAGTGAACATATAGCAATTAGTAATTTTGATTTTTTCTAATATTCAACAACTGAATAGTCAAACAAATATGTAAATTTACGTACATAAATTTGTATGAACCAGGTTTGAACTTACGACCTATAGGGTGTTATATATAGTTGTGGTAGAAAGTCCTAAAAAACAGAAAAACTTTATTTATTCATCAATTTACATTACAATATAATATATTTTGTACTGGATAAATGTATACTTTTACATAATATATCTGCGCTGAATATGGTTGAAGATGTGTATCACATACTGCGTGTACTTATGAAATATAACACAATTTATCTGAAGTGTTGCTATCGAGCAACAATCCGTCAACTAACAATACTATTTAAATATGTAAAATATGCTACTGCACAGACGGATTTCCTCTTCACTTCACCTATTTCATTGTTCACGTCTGGAGCCGCTAATAAAGCTGAGATAATACAGAGTACATGTGCATGTATTTGTATACACCAATCGTATTGAACGCCTGGGCTATATGGAAACGGATGTTCCATTACTCTACATGTTTTTACCATGCGTTGTTATTATTACCTATGTGTAATTAATTATATTGTTGAGTATATATTGCAGCTAAAGAAAATGTTCAAACTTTTTGAGATATATTATTTTATATTCGACAGGCCTGGGGACCAATACCTGATGAGCTACAACTTTTGTACGTGGATACAATTTCTGGACAGGACTGCATAGACAAAATTGATGAAGCATCACTCCAATGGGGCTGGGCTCCTCCAATTGATCCGAATGTGGAAATCTGCACTTTGCATTCTCCTGGATACGGCATGTGTAATGTAAGTCATCTTGTTTTCCTTATGCAATATAATTTAAGGTCAATGTACGAAGCTATAGTCTCATTCGTTTGAAGTCACATCGTTATTTTTAATCTCGCTATTTTCTATGCCAGAATCGATTCTGTCTAATTAATTTCTTTTAGATTTTTCTCTGCCATTAAAATAATCGACATATACATATATACTTAATAGTTTTCTAAAAATATTTTCTTTACGATTATAATTATTATATCTGACATTGGCACTACTTTCAAACTACTTATGATATACAAATCCTTCATCTTTTCTATCTTTGTCACACCTACATTCATATTTAACATTTGCATCTCGATTGTATGCAATAGGTTTATACCTGTCATCTTTGCAAGTAATAAATTTAATATTCTCTGGCATTTCAAACTTAATGTTTAGAAAAGGATTTAAAAACTTCTAGTTGTCCAATATTTAAAAATTAATATTTGCTATCATTCTTACTAACCTGGTGACAGTTAGTTTACCTTCATATCACGTTACCTTCAAGAGATGTCCAAGATCACGCAACATTGTTAGCACTGTCAACTTATTAGAATGATATTCTACTTACACATACATGTAATAGACAGTAATTATTATCAATTAAAAATCACCATATTATTAAATCTTGGACACCATTATCTGTCTTGTTTAAGGAAATGTTTTAATTTGTAATTGAGGGCTTCGTGACCCAGCGGTTTACTACACGGACTATGAATTCTGTAACTTCAAGGGTCTTGGGAACAAATGAAAAACTTTGTGTCAATATCAATTTTAATTTCATAATATTTCTCGTATAATGACAAACTCGGATGATAAACTAAATTAATACGACAGTAGGTGCGCCCCTTGCCACATCAAATTCAAATATTCTCAGCAAAATATCGACGTATCAACTGTTACAATAACGTCGACAGTTGACAATGCCTCTCACCTACCTGATACTATTATAATAGCAAGGTCTAATATTCAAAATGGATAATATTGGAATCTAGTCGAATATTTTAGATTCAGTGACTTGAATTATAAAAGCGAGAATCTTTTGACAGAAACAACTTTTGAATCTTCTATAAATAATAGTGCACATTCTTTTTCCACAGGGTGACTCTGGAAGTGCTCTGGTATCCGTTGAGACTGGTAAACAATCTGGAATAGTGTCGTGGGGCTTCGCATGCGCCTTAGGAGCACCAGACGTTTTCACCCGTATCAGTGGCGTAAAGGATTTCCTAGAACCCATTCTCGGCGAGTAAAACTTTTTATTACTCTTCATTATAATTAAACATAATTGAAGATAAACATGTGTGATTAATAGCCATTGTATAATGTAACAGTACCTAATAAAGTCATATTCATAATCTATTAAAATTGTCATTCATTACTTTCTTCCTCCCTTTCCGTAGGTAGATAGTACATAGGTGATAAATAATGGAAGTACTTAATTTTGCAATAATATCATTAGACTGATGTACTGAAGAACTGTGAAACCCTTTGTAATATATAAAATTATAAAAATAAGCTGTTTTAAAATTTACAAAAGTAGTAATTTTACTGTCCCCAAGAGATTAATGCAACAAAAACATAAGACAATTTATCAGTCTTTAATTAATGATTTGTTCAGAGATACTTATACATATATATTAAAGTATCTATAAACAGTAAAATATACATTGATAATTAATTTATCCTTACTAATATTATAAATGCGAAAGTAACTCTGTCTGTCTGTCTGTCTGTCTGTCTCGCTTTCACGCCAAAACTATTGAACTGATTTAAATGAAATTTGGTACCCATATAGTCTAGACGCCGAGGAAGGACATAGGTTACTTTTTAATGCGAAAAAAGGGTTGTAAAGGGTTGAAAATGGTAATGCAAGGTTATCTTTATGCGGTTGAATACACACTTATTATAATAATGGCTTAACTAAAAAATTTGATATTTTGGAAAGTCTACTTTATAATTGTGTTATTAAGTCTATTTTGAAAAATTTTTAATTTCTGAATTACACCAGTATTGTACTAGATATGCGACTTAGTAACACTCATATGTCATAAATAAACATATATGTCATTTGTATAAGTTGCGCGCGCAACTGATTATTGTCAATCCGTTGTCTCCTTATGAATTTAAATGAATAAACGTTTGCTCTGCAATTTTATTTTATAAATACATAAATATAATCCTGGTATAGCCTATAACTGATGACCCTGCTCTTGGACAAGAGCGTAAGAACATATTATTAATATTTTTGAAGAATAAAACAACATATAATATTAAAAATGTTGTCAATACATATGAACAACATTTCCTTGGAAGAAACAACATCTACCGTTCCATCCGAGCTATTCAGGTTCGGAATACGCGTTTCTCCATTCTGGCCAGTAGAGTCAGAGATATGGTTCGCGCAAGTAGAGGGATAGTTTGCAATTTAGAATATCACATCTATTATTTTGATTTAACAAAATTTTATTATGTTATTGGCCAACTGGACCACCAATTTTCAAAAGAATTTAAAGAAATGTTTAAACTGTTTATTAAATATAAATAAATATGACATTTAAATTTGTAAATATCACATTGTCACCATTCAAGGGGTAAAATAAAACAGCAGATAAAAGTTTTTATGGAAATTCGTCATATTTGAAGCTAGAACGATGAAGCTTTTTTCTTACGCTTTTTTGGGTCAGTTTATTTAATAAATACCTTACTAATATTATGAAAGTGAAAGTGACTCTGCCTGTCTGTCTTAAAAGCCAAAACTTCTGAACTGATTTAAATGAAATTTAAAGTCTAGATCTTGAGATCGGTTACATTAGGTTACTTTTTAATGCTAAAAAGGGTCATAAGAGACTGAAAGAGGAATTTTTAAAAGTTTAAGCTTCAATCTTATTTTTTTACGTATTGATTAAATATAATTAACGAAAATGGGTTGTAAGGGTCAAAAGGGGAGTTAAAATGTTGTATGCATGTATTGTCATTTTTTAAAGCTAGAAACTTAAAACCCATTTTTTAGGCTGTTGAGAAAAATATCAGAACCTTACCGCCACAGGCCTCAGCCAT